AATAGCAAATTGTATGGACAAACACTATTTGCCAAATTTTTCCCCAAATATTATTTGGGAAATTTATGGCCAAACGGACCCTAAATATAGACAAAAGCAAATATCTGTGTCTGTGATGATATTTTCTTATATATATATATATATATATATATATATACATGTAGCTTTCCTCAGTTTAGCACATTTTACACGTCTCAGAGTGCTTTGGTCATTACCATTACATCCCTTTTGTAATTTCTTCCCTTTACTTGTTCAAAGACTGGAGCTTTTTCATAGTATTAATTAATTATTCACCTGAATGCTTTGATCTGGGTGACATCAAGATTTGATTTTTCATGTAAATTTGCAGTTTTTAGGGGTTTAGCTGATCTGGGTCATCTTTATTTTTCTCCATCTGAGGGAGGAAGTGAAGATGAAGGTAGGGTTTTTAGTGTGTATATGGTTTGTGTTGTGTGGTTGTTGTATGGGAAGATTTGTGGTGGAGAAGAACAGCTTGAGAGTAACATCACCAGACTCAATCAAAGAGGTGTATGAGTGTGCAATTGGCAACTTTGGGGTACCACAGTATGGAGGAACCATGGTTGGTAATGTTATGTACCCAAAAACTAATCAAAAATCATGCAAGAATTTCTCAGATTTTGATATCTTCTACAAATCTAAGCCTGGTGGCATGCCTGTTTTCCTTCTTGTTGATAGAGGAGGTAAACTTTTCATTATATTCCTACTTCCTTTTAAATCACATTTCTGCCTACATAATTGGATGTGAATAGACCATGACAAATTTATGCTGCCTGTTTTAGGGAAGAATTGCCTCTACTTTTTTTTCTTTTCTAAAAATTGCCTAACCCCAAAAGAGAAAAAGGAGACTAGTGCTCAGAGAAACATAAATCAGATGCCTTTTGAAGCTAAATAGTGTAATGCAGCTGTGAGCATGTATTTGTTTGGCTCTTGCACTGAACAATCGGGGAGTATTATTTATGCCTGTTTTTTTGTATTTGGAATGGTTTTGCTTGTTAACTTATTATAACTTGAAACAAATTTACACAATGTATCCACTTACATAAACATATAAGAGTATATACTATTTATCCTCTTACATTTCACTTGTGATTTCTTGTTCTTTGCTGGTGCCTATGGTTTTTCCTGTATTGGCAGATTGCTTTTTCACACTGAAGGCTTGGAATGCTCAGCAAGCTGGAGCAGGTGCTATTCTTGTTGCTGATGACCGTGTTGAACCTTTAATTACCATGGACACCCCTGAGGAAGAGGATGCAAAGGCAGATTATTTGCAAGATATAACTATTCCATCGGCTTTAATTAGCAAATCACTTGGGGATAGCATTAAGAAGGAACTATCTAAAGGAGAAATGGTTAACATAAACCTCGATTGGAGAGAGGCTCTTCCACATCCTGACGATCGAGTGGAGTACGAATTTTGGACCAATAGTAATGATGAGTGTGGCCCCAAGTGTGAAAGCCAGAGAGAGTTTGTCAAAAACTTCAAGGGGGCTGCCCAGATACTTGAGCAGAAAGGTTATACACAGTTTAGTCCCCATTACATAACTTGGTATTGCCCGGAAGCGTTTATTTTGAGCAAGCAATGCAAGTCTCAGTGCATCAACCATGGAAGATACTGTGCTCCAGACCCTGAGCAGGACTTCAGTAAAGGTTATGATGGAAAGGATGTTGTTTTGCAAAATTTACGTCAAGCTTGCTTTTTTAAGGTTGCAAATGAAAGTGGAAAACCCTGGTTGTGGTGGGATTATGTCACTGACTTTGCAATACGGTGTCCAATGAAAGAGAAGAAATACACAAAAGAATGTGCTGATCAAGTAATCAAGTCACTTGGTAGGTCGGAGTTTCTTTCCTTTCATATTTCTGTTGGTGTTTTTCACTTGATGCATCATTGCTTTACTGTTGTACATTTAGTGTTGATGAAGCCATAAGTTTAGCACAATCCATATTTTCCTCTCTCTTGTAAGGTTGTGGTGCTGATCATTCATTGCTACTGGTGGTGTTTCTGTCTTTCCATCCTTCTGTATGAGCTGTGAGAGCTAGAAAATACCATTATTATTGTGCACTTTTTATAATCTAATAACAGATCTTAGTTTTGTTGAACTTAGTCTCATATATTTTTTATCCTGCTTGAACTTAAATGGATTTTTTCGAGTGCAATAAAAAAAGTATACACAGTTGAATATTTGTTCTTTCTTGCATGCTATTTTTGATTTCATATTAATAGTTCAATTGACAATAGCATACCGAAAAGTTATGTATGATAATAAGAGATCACGATAGCACGTGATAGTTTTTCTATGCACTTTTAATACTAATTCCTTTACTTAACCATTCAAGTATCAAAAATGGGCCACATGTTCACCCTCCATTTTTTCTCTCTGGGCTAAGGTCAATGTTGTGATGACTTTACATTTTTTTTTCCTTGTTATGTGGTTCTTCTGCATTAATTAATATTCCTTGCTCTTTATAGGAACTTGAAATGATGTCTTGAATTTTCCTTTTTGTTTTAATGGACTCTGCAGGCTTTGACGTCAAACAGATTGACAATTGTGTTGGAGATCCTGAAGCAGATACTGACAACCCTGTTCTAAAGGCTGAACAGGACACCCAGGTGTGTGTCCTACAGAAGTGATAGAACAGATCTTCTATATTGCCTCTTGAGACTATGTTAAGTTGAATATTTACTTTTCATATTGCTTCTTTCCAGATAGGTAAGGGCGCTCGTGGAGATGTGACTATCTTGCCAACTCTCGTTATAAACAATAGACAGTACAGAGGTAAACCTTGTTTGATTTAGAGGGAAATTATGTTTTGACTTAAATGGAAAGATTCTTATTTTGGCATATTTGTCTTCATCTTAGGTAAGCTGGACAAGGGAGCAGTCCTCAAGGCAATTTGTTCAGGTTTTGAGGAGACAACCGAGCCTGCAATTTGTTTAACTGAAGGTCATTTTCCTTGATCTTTTCTCTGTCTTGAAGGCTAGCAATTATTTGGTATCAGCTTGTTGCTGTTTGTGACTTTTCTTTAAGATGGGTCAGAAGTCCGAAAGAGATATCTCTTACTGGTGGAATCTTCCTCGGTTCTTTTTAATCTCCAATGGTGTTGAATCGTTTTCTTGGTTGCAAAGACTAGTGAAATTATAATATATGAGAAACATTGCCGGTATAAATTCTTGCAGATGTGCTTGCTTACCCGACATATTTCAACTTTTAACCTGATGAGACAAAAACTACATTAGCTACTTTGCTACATAAAACTCAGATTACCTGATAAAAACAAATAAAGAACAGGTCTTAAGGACCAGCTAGTCTGTAGTTTATGCGTTCTTCCAACAAGGTGATTCAAAAGTTGATTTTAATACTTGTTTTGCAGAAATAGAAACAAATGAATGCTTAGAATCAAATGGTGGGTGCTGGCAGGACAAGGCTGCTAACATTACAGCATGCCAGGTAGAGTTATTTGTCTAAAGACTGTTTATACGATAAGCCTCATTTTGTGAAGTTCCAGATTTATTTGCTTCTAGTTCAATTTCCAATCCATGTACAAAATTGTGATGCAGGATACTTTCCGTGGTAGAGTATGTGAATGCCCAGTAGTTCAGGGAGTAAAATTTGTTGGTGATGGTTATACTCACTGTGAAGGTAAGCTTTTCATCCACTAATTGTCATCTTTTTTCTCACACACAAATTGGTGTTGTTGTGATGCATGCATGTTGTCTTCATAGACTAATCTTTTGAGCTTGTGGTTTGACATGGTTTGACAGCATCTGGAGCATTGCGGTGTGAAATAAACAATGGAGGCTGTTGGAAGGGAACCCAAAATGGCAGGGCATATTCTGCTTGCATTGTAAGAGTTTTTTATTAAAGCACGATTAGTGTTACCTTTTGAACTGTCCTCCATAGCAGCTCTCATTCTTTTGTGGGGAGGTCCTAACCCTTTCCTTTCTTTTTTGTTTTTTACTTGAGCAGTGCTCCAAAGTTAAAGATGTTTTTTTATCTTGGGTTCATTAGGCATTTATCTCAAATGACTTTCTGTAGACAGAGGCATTATTTGTCATATCCTTGTCTTGTCAGGACGATCACACAAAGGGCTGCAAATGTCCACCAGGATTCAAAGGGGATGGAGTTAACAGTTGTGAGGGTATGTAGAATTGTTCATTATGTATCAATCTGTCGACATATATTGTTCCTGGAAAACATTTCAGCGTTTAATTCTTTATTTCTTTGGATTTTGTCTGTGTCTGTTTAATTGCCCCAAAAATGTTTGCACCTTTTTCTTTCTAAGAGACCAAATCTTTCAACTTCCTGTCTATGTTGCTCGGACTCTTCACCAAAATGTCAGCGGGTGTGTGTTGGATTCCTGAAGAGATTCTCCAAAAGTAATGTATTGTTGGAGAATCTGACACGGGTGCAGTATCAAAAGTGAAGAGTCCACACAACTTAGCTTCCTGTCATAGGAACATATTAATCAATATAAGTGATCGAGGTGGAGTTTGAATAGTTTTGCTCTCTGTTTTATAGCACTTCTGTTGAACAATTATCTTGTTATTCTTAAAGTTCATTTCAATTTTGGCCCTTCTTCAGATATTGATGAATGCAAGGAGAAGTTGGCTTGCCAGTGTGCTGAGTGCAAATGCAAGAACACTTGGGGTAGTTATGATTGCAGTTGCAACGCCAATTTGTTGTACATGCATGAACATGACACGTGTATAAGTAAGTTTAGAAGCTGTCAATGTAATGAAAATATACTTGTAATGGTAGACATAGGGTTTCTTATATACTTGGCTTTGGTGAAGGTAGTTAAGTTTCATAATATGATGTTTCTTTAAAATAGGTGATACAAGTTAGCAAAAGGAGAACTAATCGATAACTAATCGCTGATGTGGCAAATCCTCTTAACAAGAGACCCTATACCATCCGGGAATGAAAAAAGATGTCATTGAAAAATTAGTACAAGAGATGTTGGATCAAGGTGTGGTGCAACATAGTACTAGCCCTTATGCTTCTCTAGTAGTGTTAGTTGGGAAGAAAGATGGAAGTTGGAGACTCTGTGTTGATTACAGAGATTTGAATCAGATGACAATTAAGGATAAGTTTTCGATACCTATCATTGAAGACTTGCTGGATGAGTTAGGTGGAGCTGTGTATTTTTTCTAAAATTAATCTAAGGGCAGGTTATCATCAATTAAGAATGGCTGAAGATGATGCTTACAAAACAACTTTTAAACTCATGAAGGGCACTATGAATTTTTTGGTTATGCCCTTTGGCTTAACCAATGCACCTTCATCATTTCAGAGTTTGATGAATGCAGTCTTTAAATCATTGTTGAGGAAATCAGTATTGGTATTCTTTGATGATATTCTGATTTATAGCAAAGATATTAATGCTCATTTAGTTAATGTGGAAGCTGTATTTGATTTGATGAAACAATATCAGTTGTATGCAAAGATGTCAAAGTGTGCTTTTGCAGTGGATAAGGTAGAATATCTGGGGCATTTTATTAGTGCTGAGGGGGTGTCAACTGATCCCAAAAAGATTACAGTTGTGCAACATTGGCCAATACCAACTAATATCAAACTATTGAGAGGATTCTTGGGGCTTGTAGGATACTACAGGAGATTTATCCAAGGGTTTGGAAGTATATGTAGACCTTTGCATGACTTATTAAAGAAGGAAGGATTTGTGTGGACAGGTGATGCGACAGCTTTTGAAACACTGAAACAAGCTTTGATTTCTGCCCCAGTACTTGCTATGCCAGATTTTTCCTTGCCTTTCGTAGTGGAGACAGATGCTAGTGGTAGAGGTATTGGAGCTGTGTTAATGCAACAGGGACACCCTATTGCCTACATTAGTAAATCCTTGGCACCGAGGCACCAAGCCTTGTTAGTGTATGATAGGGAGTTATTGGCACTTACTACCTGTTGGGCAGACCCTTTGTGGTGAGGACAGATCAAAAGGCTTTGAAACACTTACTCAACCAACATATTCATACAGACTTTTAGGTGGCTGGCATATCAAAGTTGGTGGCTTTTGATTTTTCCATAGAGTACAAGAAGGGCTCTGAGAATAAGGCTGCTGATGCCTTATCCAAGAAGCCTGATGCTGAGCTATTAGCTATTTCACTTCTTACTCCTAATGATACGTTGTACCAACATATCAAGGACACTTGGACACAAGATGCTACATTGCAAGAGTTGATTGTTAAGTTGCAGGTTCAACCTTTCAAGTACTTTACTTGGTGCAATGACCAACTCAAATGGAAGGTTAGACTAGTAGTTGGACATGATACGCAGTTGAGGAATACTATCATTACACTATGGCACTCTACTCCTCAAGGTGGGCATTCTGGAATGGATGCAACTATCAGAAGAATTCAATCATTATTTATTGGAAGTCTCTTGTTCAGGATATTAGAAACTTTATCCACAAGTGTGATGTTTGCCAATGGCACAAGTATGATGTTGCTGCTTACCCAGTTGTTACAACCCCTGCCCATTCCCGAAGGGGTGTGGACTGATGTGTGTCTTGATTTTATTGAAGGTCTCCCTAAAGCTAAGGGCAAGGATGTGATATTAGTGGTTGTGGATCAACTTAGTAAATGTGGCCATTTCATGAGCTTACAGCATCCTTATACTGCCCAAGATGTAGCTCAGTGTTACTTAGATAATGTCTTTAAACTTCATGGTATGCCTGTTACTTTGATGAGTGATAGGGATCCTGTTTTCCTCAGCTCATTTTGGAAGGAGTTGTTCACTCTACAAAGAGTTCAGTTGCAACGATCTACTGCATATCACCCCAGACTGATGGGCAAACTAAAGTACTGAACAAAACTTTGGAAACCTATTTGAGGTGTTTTTGCTCCGACAAACCTCTGTTTTGGCCCTCCTATCTACCCCTTGCAGAGTGGTGGTATAATACCACTTATCACACTGGTATCAGATGCACGCCCTTTGAAGTTCTTTATGGTCAAAAACCACCTATTCATCTCCCTTATTTGGTTGGAGAAGCTGCTAACGAGATGGTTGATAGGTCCTTGGAAGCACGAGAGGCAATTATTGAGTTGCTTAAGTTTCATATCAGTCGGGCACAACAAAGGATGAAGGGCTTGGCTAACAGACATAGATCAGACAGGGTATTTGTAGTTGGTGACTGGGTGTATTTGAAGCTGCAACCTTATAGACAAGTTTCAGTGGCTGCTCGACCTTTCAACAAGCTAGCAGCAAAGTATTATGGCCCCTATATCATTGACGCACGGGTTGGTGCAGTGGCCTGTAAATTGTTGCTTCCTGTTGATGTGTTGATTCATCCCATTTTTCATGTTTCTCAGCTCAAGAGATGCCATGAGGTGCCGAGGGACATTTCTCATCCTCCAGTCCTCCAGCTTTCCAGTCCCTATTGTCCGACGCCTGAAGCTATACTTGAGAGGAGGTTGGTTAAGAAGGGTAACAAGGCTGTGTGTCAAGTGCTTGTCCAGTGGTTAGGTCTGGCAGCTGATCAGGCAACTTGGGAATATCTTTTTGAATTGCAGCATAGATTTCCCTCTTTTCAGCCTTGAGGACAGGTCTGTTCTTTACGGACGGGTATTGATACAAGTTAGCAAAAGGAGAACTAATCGATGACTAATCGCTGATGTGGCAAATTCTGTTAACAAGTCCAGAAGTTTTTAGTTAGAACTGTTAGATGGTTAAATTCTGTTACTACTGTACCTGTGGATTTTAACTGTTTTAGTAATCTCTAGGAGCCTATAAAAGGATTGTATTAGATCATTGACATTCATTCATTCATTGATAATAAGATTGTTTTCTTCTCTGCAATTTTCTCTCTAGCTGAATTCTCGGGTTTAATCTCTGAACTAGCTGTTCATATTCCTCGAGATTACTCCTGGAATTTGTTTCTTCTCTGTAATTGTAGCAATAGGTTAGTTTTTTATATGTGATGTTTCTGATATTAGCATGATTTAGCTTATTTAAATGTAATAGAATTTTGCCAACTGCATACCGAAGACTTTGATCTACTTTTTTCCAAAGTTGCATGTCTGTCGATATCTTCTGCGACTAAGTTTGTTGGAGAAATTGCAGGCAAAGATGCCAAGTCAGAGTTCAGCTGGGGCCTTGTTTGGACTATCATCTTGGGTTTGGCTGTTGCAGGGGTTTCGGCATATGCTGTGTACAAGTATAGAATCCGGGTATGTCATTGTACAATGTTCTTAATTTCATCAAAGACAGACAACTGTTACCTGTTGAAAACACAGAAGTAAAAGCATTTGAAATGTTATGCTGGTGCTAATTAACCAGTTTTTCCATAGTAATTAACGTATGATCTTCAGAACTAATGATGTTAGAAAGTGATTGGGGAATTTATAAATACTTAGACAAGACAAATCTTCTAGGATTTTGCATTTGAGTTACCTGTTGAAGTCGTTTGATCCTTCAATATACATGGTTGATGGGAAGGCCAGCAAATTCCTTTTGTTTTACCACAAGTCCCAGTTATAATCTTTCACTCAAGTCTAGTGAAAATATCCCCAGAATGAGATGTGCCACCAAATCCCACCACATAATAAAAGCAAGAAAGTTAAGAACTCTTTGAGTAAATATCAAGTTTTTGGAGTGGGGTTTCTTTCTTTGATTCTCAGAGAGGTGTTTAAAGGTTTCTTTCTTATGTCGTATTTCTTCCCGATCACCATCTTTGGGACAGATTCATCTTTTCTGTTCAAGAAGTTTTTTCCTTTCTTGGAATTAGCATGATATCCATTAGCGTGTTTTCTTGTTCAATGTTGCTTTCACCTTTTCATTAAATCCTGGAACCTTGTATGTGCAGAGATACATGGACTCAGAGATTCGTGCCATCATGGCACAATATATGCCTTTGGATCAAGGAGAGGGGGCAACTAATGTTCCCCACGGGAACGTCTAATGATAGACCATTACTGAAGAGTGATGATGGCTTGGGTAGAATGCAGCCTCCACTGGATGTCTGCCACCAGTTAGTCAGCCTAAAGTTCTTTGTGCCAATCATCATCGAAACAAATTACATCTTATTTATGTACATGTATGTCCCAACAATGCACATAAACCCAATAAAAGGAATTGTCCTTGAATTGGATTTGCGCATGATGTTTGACTTCTAATAATAAGGAAATGCGCAATATCAGTTTGTATTCCACTTGAAAGCATCATTTTGCATTGCACAATATGGTATGAATGGATGGTAAGGTGTCATATTATGCCATCACTTCCTGTTTTGGAGTGAGGCATGATTAGTTAATTGATTGATATCATCTCTTTTGCTCTTGTAAAAGATCAATTTTGATTTTCCAACAACAGAATTTTATATACCAATTGTCAGATATGGCCACTGCCACAATGTTCTCAATCGGCACGCTGAAGATTTGATGGGTGATTACACTTGAACTTTTAACCTCTGCATGATAAGTTTTGAAATCTAACAAGTTGGACTTTAAACCTTTTCTTTTTTGATTTTTCATTCGATGTTCGGTATTCGTATTGGATCCCGACTATTTTGATTTGCGCTACGTAGGGTCCCATTCAGGGGAAGCACTCCATACCAATTTTTTTATATTTAGGGTTCGAATAGTATATCTCTGATTAAGTGAGGAGCAACCTCATCTATTGCACCACATCCTTTCTTTGGTGGTCATTTAAGTGTAGTTTCCTGAGATTTGGTTGGTCAATGTTGTTAAAACATTTTAGCCAATATCGATTACTGTTAGAAAAATAATAGGAAGTATAAATTGAAGAAGAAGATTACTTTGAGGCATGAAGAATCATTTTCTTTAAAGAGATATTGCTTATATACATATTGGGGTAACTTCAAACAAATTCCTTCTGGATACAACAAAGCCTTTGAATTTACTTGCAGATTTTTCTATGGAAAAATTAGCAATTAAGTCATAATACCTAACATAATTAGTCAAAATAACAACACTTTAAAATATTTATTTAAAATGACAGAATGACAATATTTTTACAAATAATATGTATTCAGATTTTAGTATTTTAAATTAATTTTATTTATGGAAAGAGTCCTATATTGGACCAAATTATATACCAATAACCGTTTAAAGTGAAAACAAAAAATCAAACCAATACCATTAACCTTTTTTCATCACCATTCACGTTTCTTCTCCAACTTTCACGTTTCTTCCCCACCTTTCACGTTTCAAGTTTATCTTTCTTCAAGGTGCTAAATTGTTGTTCATCAAGAAATTTTCTTTATTGTTAAACGAAATCTCTTTATTAATTCAAGAAGATTTCTCGGTTGGCAAGGTAATTTCCATTATCCATTTCGATTAGTTATTTTGATTTGTTTTCAATATCACCGTTTATGGTTTATATTTCGCATTGTACATATTACGGATTTTCCATTAATTTTTTTTATTTTTATGCAAGTTTGTTTACATAATATTCATCTAATATTTATGTATTTCAATTAGTTATTTAGATTTCTTTTGATTTGTTTTCAATATCACCGTTTATGATTTATATTTCGCATTGTACATATTATGGATTTTTTGTTAATTTTTTCGATTTTTATGCAAGTTTGTTTACATATTCATGTAAAATTTATGTATTTTAGATTTTTAGTCGATTAAACAATTTTTTTCTGATTTCGTTTTAATATTTTAGATTTATTAGAATCTACAAATTCATTAATATGTTTATTTTGTTTTATTTTTAATACATTTATATTTGCTTTTAGAGTTTTAGATTTGGGGAAAGCATCTGTCTGTCTACAATGTCTGAATCAACAGTTTATTTGTGTATTCATTCTATCTATATATCAACAAGTTTTACATTTTTATTTTTACATTGTATTTCAATCTCAATTAGTATACCAACATGTTTGTATTTCCTTCTTAATTTGTATTCATCCTAACTGTATGCTAACAATTTTGTATTTTATTGGGTATTCATTCTGTATTTCAATCTCAATTTATATGTGAACAAGTTTGTATTTCTCTTTTGTTTTGTATTCAACCTAATTGTATACCAACAAGTTTTGTATTTTATGTGCCTACTTTACCTTTCAAAGTCACTTTGTATTTCAAATAAAGAGAGTATTTAATTTTTTTTGTAGTCACAACTTTATATTCAATCACTTTGTATTTATAACTTTGTATTTTCATTTCACTTTTGTATTCATATATTGTTGTATTCAACATATAGTTCATGATCCATTAGTTTGTATTTTACCTTTCAAAGTCACTTTGTATTGCAAATGAAGAGAGTATTTCTTTTGTATTCACAACTTTATATTCAATCTCACTTTGTATTTATAACTTTGTATTTTCATTTCACTTTTGTATTCATATATTGTTGTATTCAATATATAGTTCATGATCGATTAGTTACATTAACTTAATGAGATACAAATTATTGTATGCATTCAAACAAAAAAAACAGCTACTAAACTAAAAAAAACAATTTCATTCGTTATACATCATAATTTAGTTACAAAACATCCGAAAAAAGCTATAAATTCCAATGCATACAAAGATTTCACTGATTCAATAAAAAAAACANNNNTACAAAACATCCGAAAAAAGCTATAAATTCCAATGCATACAAAGATTTCACTGATTCAATCAGAAAAAAAATACCTGATTGTTTTTCAATTGTTCACTGGATGAGACAAATTTATAGTTGTCAATTTTGAAAAATTCTATTCAAAAATATGTTATATTCAACTTGAAGAAGCTTTGAAAGTTATCAGGAGAATGATTTAGAAGACAAACTAATTTTTTTTTTTTTTTTATGTTCTTAAGAAGAAAGCAAAAAAACGCTCGACGGAAAGATGACTATTTATGCTCTTTTCAAAACGTAACTGATTTGTATTTAAAATCTTTTTTACCTTTTTTTGAATTTTTTGTTCCATGATTTTCTCTGTTCTGTTATTAATTATTTGTATTCTTTTAAATTAATAAAAATAAAATAAATACATAACTAATCCCTTAACAAACTAAAATAATGACATTTTTAATAAATAATGAAACTGTTGCTAAGGAGTCCACTAAAAACTAAAATATTGCTGTTTTGAAAATTTTCCCTTCTATGATTTGGCCACTTCAAGGGAGTCTTTATATTTATAGAACTTAATAATTGACTTTTCATAATACAGTCTTGTTCTTTCATGAACATATGACTTTTCATAATAGTCATATTTTTTCATGAACATATGACTTTTCATAATAGTCATGTTCTTTTATGAACAAATTTGTTTGTTCAATTCAAGACTCTATATATTACAAATTATCCAACAATCTCCCACTAGTTTCTAATATTTCTCATAAATCATGCATATCAGAGATTATCTTATAATAGATTTGAACTTTCCGGTAGTGCAAGTACTTTAAAGTTCTGACGAAATTATTGGTATCTTAAAAGATTTGAACCACAACTCCATGTACCAAAATAAAAAATATGTAATGACCCGATCGATTATTTTTGGAAAGTTTCATGAATTTACCGTTTTGCCCCTCCCAATCGTGATCCCGAGTCTTTTATGTTTGAGTTTTGAAAATTCGCTTTCGAAATTTGAGTAATAAATTGAGAACTTGAGTTAGTTTGTGATTTTGAAAGGCTGAATTACTTAAAAGTGATTTTGAAGTCTTTTGGAGTTTCGAGTGTTGGAATGGAATTTCGTCGATTTCATTAATTCTTGAATATGGGATATGGTCAGTGAGAATTTTAGGTTTCAGATTCAGAGTCTTTTTGAGAATTTGAGGTCCTAAGTTATGAAATTTTGGAAATTTAGCCTTTTAGTTGACTTTGGTCAACATTTGGGGTTTAGATGCTTGGATCGAAATTTTGAAAGTTTCGTTGGATTCGGGGGATGATTTTAGTCCTAGGCAGGGGCAGACCCACCTTATATCAAGGGGGGTCAGTTGACACGACTTCGTTGAATTTTTTTAGTAGTTATATATATGAACAATTACTTGAGATGTTGTTCGCGATAAACTTACCTAATGGTGTAAAATATCTTATAATACATGTTATTGAACAAGCCTTATACTCTATATGTAATGGAGAAATAAAGTGAAGCGAGAACGCTGAGCCCCTAAGGGAAGGGAGGGTGAGTATACACACCACTAGTGGTTGAATATCATGATAAGCAACAAAAAGTTGAATTCAGTATCTGTTGTTGAGACGTCTTTCTATGTAAAAGTCCAAGGAGACAAAAATGTGAGACTTTAAATGTCAAGTCAAAGCAGACAATACCTTGATAGTTGGGCCTTTTTAACTATTACACCTTGTCCATTGAATCACTCTATATAGTCACACTTGCAACTTCTACTTAGAATATGAAAGATATTAAATTTATCATTTTTCGCGATAACCTGACAATGTAGTTTAAAAGAACACATCATGTTTTACGAGTCAACTTAACTTGATGGTGTAAAAAAATCTATATTCCGTCTTAAAACTCTATATAGGTTAACGAATAAGCTCGAAAGAGAAAACAAAAGGTATGAAATTAAAAAAAAAGAAGTATAATGTGGCTGCTGGGATTCGAGCCCAGGTCTCCACGGCCACAACGTGGAATTCTTACCACTAAACTACAGCCACTTTGTTGTTGAGATGGTCAAGTTTAATAATCTTAAATAAATATCTTCTGTGATAAGTCCAATCTAATTAGGAAGAAATAAATCCAGCTAGATGATTATCCATGGTATGTGAAGAAATAATTTATATTTTATTATTCGCAATAATATTGTTAGAAATCATAACAAGATATTTTATTTTTTTGTTTTTCATGAAATAGGAATGAAACATCAAGATTCAGTTAACATAAGATTCGACGATAAAAAAAATACAAGAAAGAAAGTATATTATATTTTATTTTTTTCTAAGCTTAAGTTTATATCCAGGCAGCAAATATATATATATATATATATATATTTGAAAAAATAAAAACAAAACTGTAAATATTATAAATGACACTCCTTGAACAAGGAAGCGCCTTGGCTCGTTGGTTCATGCCGCGAACGAAGCTATCATGTCATTCAACATACCCGAGTTCGAATCTCAGTAGGTGTGTTTTTTGCTTTTAATTTTTGAGCATTTTTTCAGAGAAAAAGAGAAACGTTTAAGAAGGATTCCAACCTCCAACCTCCAACCTCCCTATTCCTACTCAAATTAGGCTAAAACAACCCAGTTAAACTAGAATACTACATATAACCTACTATAGAAATTTTATTACTTATTCAAATCAGAATTGGATATAATAATAAGTTATAAAGTAAAATTTAAGTTGAAAAGAAACCTTCAAATTTAAGTGTTGTTGCGGTCTGCGTTGATAGCTTGATGCTACTGTCGTTTTTTCTTTAATTGTAAGTTCTCTTTTCTTTTTATCTCCCATCTTTTTAGTTTTCATTGAAATTTCTTGAAATATCAACTTTTATAGATTTAATTTCTTGAAATTGTTTAGTGTTATCTAATTTATTTAAATTTGTAATTCAGACCAATTCAATGGAGAGATATTATTCTAAAGTATCTTGCAATCTTTCAAAATCAAGTTCAACACCTCAAAAAAAATTTAACTTAGAAGAAGAAAATGGTAATGAGGAACAAGGTCGACAAAGTGAAAGAGTTGATTTAACTTCCTTAAAATTTGACCCGGAGAAAGGTTACCAATTTGAAAGTATCATCCGAATGAGCGTGATGCAGTAAGAAGAATGTATCTTCAAAATGGTCCTTTTCAACCAAAAAATCATCAATTTCCTCAGTCGGATTTTTATGGTGACTTACGCGTTTTAATGCTGAATGGTTTCATGAGTATGATTAGATGGAGTATAGTGTAACAAAAGATGCAGCATTTTATCTCTATTGTTATTTGTTTCAAGATGAAAGCATTAATCAAGGAGGAGGCGATGTATTTTCAACCATAGGGTTTACAAGTTGAAATAAGAATCGCAGCCTTGATGTGCATATTGGTAAGCCAAACAGTGTTCATAATCAATCAAGATGAAATTGTGAAGATTTATTGAGACAAAAGTAATCCATTCAAAGTGCATTTGCTAAACAATATGATCATCAAAATTTAGAATATCGTACTCGTTTGGAAGCTGCAATTAATGTGATAAGATATCTTTTGAAGCAAGGGTTGTCATTTCGGGGCCATCGTGAAGATGTATCCTCTTCTAATAGAGGTAATTATATTGAGCTCCTTACTTGGTATGCGAAGCTATGTCATAATATTGACAATGCATTTAAAAAAGCTTCAAAGAATAATCAACTAACTTCTCCACGTATTCAAAAAGATATTATCAATGCATGTAAGATTGAAACAATTAAGTGTATAATTGAGGATTTAAATGATGATCACTTTTTCATCTTAGTTGATGAATCTCGTGATAGTTCATGTAAGGAGAAAATGACTATTGTCTTACGATATGTTGATAGAAGGGGAAGTGTGATGGAACGATTTCTTGGTATTGTTCATGTTCGTGATACTACTGCTTTGTCTTTAAAGAATGAAATTATTGGTTTACTTGCTCAACATTCTTTAAGTCAATCTTATATACGTGGACAATGTTATGATGGAGCAAGTAATATGCAAGGTGATATAAATGGGCTAAAAAAATTGATGCAACAAAAGAGTAAAGGTGCTCATTCTATTCATTGTTTTGCTCATCAACTTCAATTAACTCTTGTTGCGATTTCTAGTAGATGTGATGAAGTGCAAGAACTTTTATTATTGGTTTTTGATATACTAAATATGGTGGGAGTTTCTTTCAAGCGTAGAGATGAACTTCGCGAAGCTCAAGCAAAAGAAATTGAAAAGGCATTACATAAAGGTGAACTTGAAACTGGTAAGGGCTTGAATCAAGAATTAGGTCTTGCTAGAGCAGGTGATACTCGATGGGGATCTCATTACAAATCTTTTAACAATTTTATCCTCATGTTTGGTCCTATCATTGATGTACTTGATGCTATTGCTGTTAATACTCGTTTTGAAGAGAAATGTAGGGCAAAAGGATATCTTATAGAATGTTTAACATTTGATGTTGTCTTTATGTTGCATTTCATGCGCATTGTTTTAGCAATTACAAATGATCTAAATGCTGCTTTTCAAAAGAAAGAGTAAGACATTGCAAATGCCATGTTACTCGTTAGAGTGACAAAGAATCGATTGCAACAACTACGAGATGAAGGTTGGGATTCACTTCTGAATGAGGTATCTAAGTTTTGTATCAAATATGATATTTTGATACCTAAATTTGATGAGTTTTATGTTATTCGTGGAAAATCACGTCGTAGAATTATTGAGTATACTATTTTACATCACTATCGAGTTGAAGTATTTTATAAAATTATTGATTGGCAATGTCAGGAACTCAATAATCGCTTTGATGAGGTGACAATTGATTTGCTTCTGGGAATTGATTGCTTGAACCCAGTTGATTCTTTTTCTAACTTTGAGATGGAAAAGATATTGAGATTGGCTGAGTTATACCCTGATGATTTTGATAAATACTCTATAGTTGACCTTCACTTTCAGCTTGAAAATTACATTGTTGATGTTAGAGATCATGATAAAAGGTTCTTCGTTCTTAAGGGACTTTCTAATCTTTCCAAGATACTCGTAGAGATGAAGAAGCACATAACTTATCCTCTTGTGTTTTGACTAGTTAAATTTGCTTTACTTTTACCGGTGGCTACTGCTACAGTTAAAAGAGCTTTCTCGGTGATGAAGTTGCTTAAGACTAATTTACGAAATCGAATGGATGATGAATTTTTGAGTGGTTGTTTGGTGCCTTATATAGAGAAAGAAATATTTATTACTATCCCCAATGAGGCTATTATGAATACATTTCAAAATATGAAACTCGTCGAGGACAGTTGTAGTAGTTTACTTGATTTATATTTTATTAGTACATTTTTAATTAATTTTTATTAATTTAATATATTTTTATATCAATTATTTATTATTTATTTATTTTTAAATATCGACACCACTTACAAAAAATTCTGCGTACGCCACTGGTCCTAGGTGAGGTCTTGGTTGATTTTTGAGAGATCCCGAGTGTCACGCCCCGAGCCTACACCCTGGACATGGCCGACACTCGAGAACCATTTCTAATCCCCAAGCTAACCCTTAGCTTGTCTAACTATTTAGCAGAAGACTCACTCAAACAGAAAGAAGCTTTATATGTAGAGCTTAACTCATATATCTCAAATAGACTTAACTCAAAGACGGGAAGTACTCAATGTTATAAATAAAACAGTTTGCAAAACATCTCAAAATAAAAGAGAAATATTGAGAAACTCCTCAACTCTAACTATCTATGAAGCCTATAATACTAGGATAGATATCGGGACTAGACCCACGACAACTCAACAAGAATAGGAAAATAAATATGAAATCCTCCGGAAAGCAAGGAGGCACACCAAATCTGAAGCGCAAAGTGATCTCAACGAAACACCTATTGATGATCCTGAACACCTGTATTTGCATCATAAAAGATGCAGGTCAAATGACATCAGTACATTAAATGCACGAATATGTCATATAGCCGAGACAAAATAAATGAATGAAAGGACTGCAATAGATATAGCATAAACTCAACTGAATGTAAAGAATTAAAGGAATGAAATCACTTAACTCTACAAAATACTTTCTCATCTCTGAACTTCAACATAATAAGTGATATATTTAAAATACACTTTAACTCTACTGAGAGATTCTCAACCGACAACCATCACTATGAGCTACGTGATGATACATCGTCTTGTCCACACTATCAGAACTGTCATATATCGTGTCAGGATATAGAACCGCTCAATTAAGTGGATTCACTAAGCTTTGCCCAAAGGCACTAAGGATTCATCTAAAAAGTATGATCATGTACCCATGTTGGCAAGACATGGTTTATGGGGACTGTGAGTTGTCTGAACTCTCTCCCATATCGGTGTTCAATATTACTCTCAATATTATATACTATTTGCTCAAATGTATAAAAACATATTCTTTCTCTGACTTGATATAATTGTTCAAACTATCCTCTAAAAAGAGGTAAGTGCTCTGAAATATCTCTGAAACTCATTGCTCATTTAGAAAATAAGGTTTCTCTTTGCTCAATGTAAAAATACATTCTGGATTGAGATAATTACTCAAAAGGGGCCTCTTTAAGAGGTAACTGCTATGTATTCAATCTTTTTGAAAACTCTTTTAACTTTTCTCAAAAAAAGTGTACTCCTTTTCTTCATGTAAAAAACAAAACATTTGGGAAATACTTAGTTCCCTTATACTCTTTCTCAAACTCCTCTTTATTACTTCCTCAAAACTCAGTTTAAACAATTATGTTTTGTTTAAAAGATTCTCATTAAGAATTCAATGAATACTCAAAAATAGGGTTCATGCTGAAAAATAGACATAAACAATCAACTCAATAATGGCAATACAAAATGTACGACAATTCAATGATTAGAAATAGGAATTTAATAATCAACAACTCAAGAACTCCATATCAACTCATTTGAAGAATACTCAAATCTAAGTATAGAACCTTAGATTATTCTTTTACTGATTTGAAAGTAGATGTAGGGGGCGTGAGGACGAACTAGTCCAACACTATGATAGTCTTACATACCTGGAAGAACGAAGTTCTTTAGTGAAATCGACGAAACTCGAAGAATGCTTGAACCCTAGCTTTTCTCCTCTTGGAACCTTGCTCTAATGACTTGAAGCGTTAATGAACGTAAAAGAACTTTCTACCGTCCGTACTGGTCAACCGTAGAACCAACTTTAGAAATCCAAATTCACATAACTTTCCACGAGACCTTCCTACAACGGAAGTTTCTACGGCTCATAGAGCCAATTGGTAGAATTGTTCAAGATCAAAATTTCATTAAGTCTGGGACCCTTCTACGAAACTCATCTACGACCCGTAGTACAAACAACGACCCGTCTTGTTCACTCGTAGGTCAAACTTCATAAACTTGATTTTTTCCTAATCTCAACCTCATTCCTACGAGTGTCATCTATGACCCGTAGAAACTTCTATGAACTATAGACTGATTTCGTAGGATACAACCAATAGCAAAAACATGAAGTTCTTCCCTTTTTCAATTTCTGAGGTGTTATATATGGATAAAAAAAATTCTTAGATAGTGATTGGAAAGAAGTGCTCTCGTGGAAAGCTTGTTTTGATACAATTCTTTCAAAGATCATGACTTCATATGGTTTTTGGTTAAACTTGGAGAGTAATAAGAAGACTTGTCAATGCTAAGAGATTGAGAAATTGCTCTTTCTAATAATAGAGGAAAAACCAATACTAACTGTAGAGGAAATAGTAAAAGTATGGATTGATGATTTTCTATCATTGGCAACTTGGGATGTGATTGGGAACGAAGAAAACAATAATGTTGAGGATGAGAATGTATGACAATATGATGTACCTTGCGAACTGGCACAATGTTGCACATTTAGAAGTCACCAATTATCAAATTTCTAGTTTATATTTCGTTGTTAAGAACAAGAGTGATCTCAAGGGGAAGGGATGCACTCAATTTCTACCGTTACAGTTTTCTATGCCTTCACTTGAAAAGACAAGTTCGACATCTTTTGGGCGAAATATGAAGAATTGAGGCAATCAATTGTTTATGTTATTCTGCTCTCCGTACCCTTTATTCTGAAACACGAGTCCGACTGTCGAAGGGACTGCATCTTTTGGGCAGAAAGGATGACCTTTTTGCAGGTATCAATAGCTCCGAACAGGCACATGAATACTATGAAAATGACTTTAACCTTGGCGGAGCAGGTGGGAAAATTATAGATCCTTGAGGTCAAGAATCTCTTATAGTTAGTTAGCTACAGAAAGTTAGTTAGGAGCAGTTAATTGGTAACTGATTGTGTTATTAGCTTAAGAGCTTAATTTAGTTCAATTCAATTACTATATAGCTTGTAATTAACTCATTGAACAATCACATATGAAAATACAAAATTCTTCTCTTCCTAGAACTCTTTTCTTCTCTCTTAATTCTTCTTCCTTACTAACTATTTTCTCGAGAAACTCCTGAACAGTGCTTCCATCCTCGAATTCATTGTGAATTCCTGCAATCAAATAACATACGACCAACGTGGAAAAAAAAATGGTATCCTTTAATACCCTCCTACACATATGACTCATCTCTTGGGATTTCATGAGGTTGCATCTTTTTTTTCAAAATCATGGTTGAACATTAAACTTGACGAGAGAGGGAAAGAGAGGGAGAGAGAGAGAGAGAGAGAGCAAATTAATAGGTTGAATTGAGGGGGAAGCTTAGAGGAATAAAACATGTAAAGGGAACATTGTAAAAGTGAGCTCACCACAGTTTAGCTCCGATACCGTATGAAATGATCTAAGCATCCAATAAAGATCTTAAGGTGGTGGTTGAATGACCTAGGAGATTATAAATTATTTTCTCTTGCACAATTATGAATATCAGTGTATTCTCTAATAGAAAGACAAGTCCTCTTTGTAAAATAGCTTCACTGAGGGCAAGCCCAATACGACAGAATGGAAGTCACATATTCACAGAAATATTGAACACCAACATCATTTCATTTCCTCCTACAGTGCTTGAAAAATAGTCAACTTTTAGTATCAAATGTCTCATTCATTCTTTCATTTGAGAATGAATGCGATAAGACAAATAAACCTTTTCTTCTGATGATGATACACATGAACTAAACACCTATACTGCAGCCCGTTTCATAAAAAAATTCATTTAGAGGGTTTTTTATTTCGTTTCTTGGCATTCTTCACAAGTGCATCACAAATCTCCCTTTTTCTTCTGGAGGCAGCACTAATATTAGGATTAGTAGCAGCAACATTGGCTGAGTTACTGTTATCACCTTTGCTTGAACTCTTACCATGAACTTCTAATGCATCCTTGGCGAAGAATTTTAGCCTCCACAGTGTCAATTCGCTCTACAGAAACCACAAAATAAACTACTGATAAAACTATTGAAAAGTGATATATAAATTTTTGAATGGGGGAGATGTTCAAGTCTTATGAGAACCTGGGTATCAATGTCAAGTTCCACCTCTTCTGCTGAAACTGGAAATAGTGGGTTATTTTGTGCTACTATCTCCAGTGCCT